CACTGTGGTGCTGGATGCTGCTGTTGGGTAAGTGCCGTCTTCCCTGAGCATCATTACCTTTCCTTGCCCACCCTCAGGTGGGGCAGTGTTTTCAGATTGAAGGTTTGAGTCCCATTCATAAAACTGCGCTGGGCAGCATCCCACCTCTTAATAGCTGCTCTAAGTCAGCAAGCTCATTGTAAGGTCTTCATAGCGTACACAAAAGACAGGGCTGTAGGCCCTTGGGGAGAGTGGGAGTTTGTGTCCAAAGTTTTATGGATCCAAGTGTTAGGACATTTTAAGAGCAAGATGCCAAGGTCAGTCAGGATCAGCACTTAGGATAATCAGTGGTCTCTCTTCATTTGACAACCTGGGCTGTCCCCAGTGGCACACTGGGCTGCCATGTCTCACCCCGGCAACGTCTCTTCTTAAACCAAGGTCACGTCTTCCTGGGATTATCAGTGTATTTCACAAGAGAAAACAGGATTAATAATTTCTTGGGAAGAAAACACATAAGCTAGATGATGAAGGAAATTAGGAATGTGTTCAAGAGTAGGCATTTTGAGGAATTCTGATTGCTCACTTTAAAAGGTAAATTGGCTTTCACCCTACTAGAAAGACTGCCTAACACTTTGTTCCAGCTTGAGTTCACATCAGCTTTTTAAATTTTCATTTTGTTTTTATTGAAGTAGGACAGAAACTCCAGAATACCACACTAGTAAGGATGAGAACTGTATCATGAAATTCCTGCTCCAGTTACACATTTATATATGTGCGCACATGCCAAGGGACAGTGTGGAGTGTGTCTTATTGGGGGGTCATGGTCAAAAAGCATTTCCATGTCCCTGATAACAACGCCAAGGGCCAATCATCTCTGTTTTAAGTGCTCTTTTGAAGAGAGGTAGTAATGGGATGAACTTAGCATGAAAATGGAATACTGACCTTCACAGACGGTGGTGCTACTAACGAGCCAAGAAAAGCAAGCATGAAAAGCTTTTCTTTTTTTTTTTTTTTAATTTCCTTAGTTATATCATGGAGAAAGCAGATCTTGTCATAGTTGGTGCTGAAGGAGTTGTCGAAAATGGAGGAATTATTAACAAGGTAGGAGCCTCAGCTCTTCCCAGTTCCTTGCTCAGGGCTTGGAGATGTCTTGCTGACCTAGGACGCCACAACAGGATTGTGTGTATGGTTCATTCTGCTCCTAATCCTGCTTAGCTTTAGGACTTCATCATGGAATTGAATTGTTGACCAATTCCCATGAGCCACTGCAGTGGTCAGATTTCCTTCTTTGAAGACTGATTGTAAATTAAGACAATGTAATTTATATTTATACAAAATGAGCTTTAATTGGAATTTGTTTTTTGTTTTCATTTTAACTGAGCATATTCAGCCTCCACATACTATTTTATTCCAATTTCTCTATCCATTGCTTAACTTGGAAAGGTTTTGTGGAAGTTTTTTTTTTTAGGTTTTTTTAGTATTTTTTAATGGTTAAATATATACAAAATTTAAAATTTTCCATTTTAACCAATTTTACGTGTACATTTTAGTGGCATTAAATGCATTCACACTGTTGTGCTACCGTCAGCACTGTCTGTTTTGAAAACTTTTCTACCTCTCTATCTATCTATTTATTTATTTATTTTGGGGACAAGGTCTCACTCTGTTGCCCAGGCTGGAGTGCAGTGGCTCAATCATAGCTCACTGCAGGCTCGATCCTCCTGCCTTAGCCTCTTGAGTAGCTGGGACTACAGGTGTGTGCCACCACACCCAGCTGATTTTTTTTTGTAGAGACAGCGTCTCGCTATGTTTTCCAGGCTGGTCTCAACTCTTGGCCTTGAGGGAGCAATCGTCCTACCTCGGCCTCCCAGTTAGCTGGGATTACAGGTGTGAGCCACCACGCCTGGCTGTTTTGAAGACTTTTCAGTTTCTTCCCAAACAGAAACTCTGTACCCATTCAACACTAATTCTCCCTTCCCCATCCCCAATAACCTCTATTTTACTTTCTGTCTCTAATTTTGCCTATTCTAGGTACTTCAAATAAGTGAAATCATATAATATTTGTCTTTTTTGAGTTTGACTTATTTCACTCAGCATGATGTTTTCAAGGTTCATCCAGGTTGTAGTGTGTGTCAGAACTTCTTTTCCTGGTTGAATAATGTTACGTCGTATGGATATGTCACACTTTGTTTATCCACTCCTCTGTTGATGGATGCGTGACTTGTCTCTTCCTTCTGGCCATTGTAAATAATGCTGCTATGAACATTGGTGTACAAGTTTCTGAGTGTCTTTTTTCAATTCCTTTGGGTGTATATACTGAGAAGTGGAATTGCTGAGTTAGATAATAACTGTATGTTTAGCTTTTTGAGGAATTTCCATAGTAGTTGTACCATTTTACATTCCCACCAGCAATGCAGAAGGGTTCCAATTTCTCTACATCCTTGCCAACACTTGTTATCGTCTATTTTTTAAATTATAGCTATCCTAGTAGGTGTGAAGTGCTTTTGATTCTCACTATGGTTTTGATTTACAGTGCCCTAATGACTAACGACGTTAAGCATCTTTTCACACACCTAGTGACCATTTGTATTATCCTTGGAGAAATGTCTATTGTCTTCTTTTTTAAAAGGTCCTCTTTGACTCCAAAGCCAGAATTACATGTATTATGTGCATACGCTTTCTGTTGTTTCTACTTGAAACGTGCTGAAGAGCTCATCATTCTCCATTCTCTCTGACTTCCCAGATTGGAACCAACCAGATGGCTGTGTGTGCCAAAGCACAGAACAAGCCTTTTTACGTGGTTGCAGAAAGTTTCAAGTTTGTACGGCTCTTTCCACTAAACCAGCAAGACGTCCCAGATAAGTTTAAGGCAAGAGTTTTACATATTTGAAGGGATACTGAAGTCTAAACTGAAAGCTTTGAAAAACTGCAGTGCTAGGAATGTTCCAGTAAGTTTTTTACTTCCCACTCCTATTTCCCCCAACATTTGGGATACAGAGATAAGTTGGTGATTGGACAAATACATTTGCCCCAGAATGTCCATCTTTCAGTGCCTGGTTCATTCAAGCAGCACTATGTGGGCTGAAAGGAGGCGGGAAGCTGGTGGTTGGGTCCCAGCTTTGGAATCCACTGTCTGGGCTCACTCCCATCTTCACCACTTACATACCGTGTGACTTTGCACAAGTCCTTTCATTGTAACCTCTGAGTTTGTTTCCTTATCCCTACAGACGGATAGTGGCATCTGATAGGTGGTGAGGATTCTGAGATAATCCAGGGAAGGGCTTAGCACAGATCCTGGCACGTGGCAAGTGCTATAGAAATAGACTCTAACTGGTTACCTTGAAAGGTCTAGAGAAGTTAATCCGGCACATGAATGAGGGGACATGTGACTTAGGCTTTTTGTTACACTACGGCTCTTGGTGGGTAGCCACCATGATCTGGCTTGTGGGGTAAACCTGCCCTCCCCACCAGCTGCTACACAGCCAGCTTCCCCTGTTTTCAGAGAGCAGCTGCAGGCAGTAGCACACTGACTGCTCAAGCTAAGGCCTCACTGGTTCAGAGCCATGAAGATTCCAGGCAGTCTAACATGTGGTTCTTATCTCCTCAGTATAAAGCAGATACTCTCAAGTCTGTGCAGACTGGACAAGATCTCAAAGAGGAGCATCCGTGGGTCGACTACACCGCCCCTTCCCTAATCACCCTGCTGTTTACAGACCTGGGCGTGCTGACCCCCTCAGCAGTCAGTGACGAACTCATCAAGCTCTATCTATAACCACCGGGTCCTTTCCTGCCAACGTACAGCTAATGTAGTTGAGGCAGGTTGAGTAGCTGTGTGACCTCCCAATGAGCCAGGCTAAAACTGAATTGTCTTTTGTGAAGATACACAGACTAAGGCTTTAAAATCATAAATTTTGTAGAATCTTTCTTACTTATTTCAGTCCCATCTGAAATGTGTCCGTGGTTCTATAACCCAACCTAAATTGTGCTTACAAGGTCTCCAGAAACTTCCATCTTCAGTTTCCAAAAATACAAGTTAGATTATTGGCTACTTAACCAATGAAAGGTGTGCCCCAGTCCACCTCCCTTCATCCTGCCCTGCACTCCAGACTGATTTGCCAAAAGCATCCATGAAAGAAATACAGGCCAAAAAGCAGGTGTCCCTAACTACAGCCACACCCTCTGCAATAAAAGGCTAGCGGCTGGCCAGGACACGTCACACCTGGTGCCTTAGGAGAAAGGCAAGAAGCAGTCGCTGAATTTGCATCCGGCTTCCAGTGGTGAACAGGTCCCAATAGGATCAAGCCAAATGGAGTAAGAACTGTACTGAGAGAACACAAGGAAGGCAGAACAGCATTCAGCAGTATCCTGCATGGCTCAGCACTAATAGAGACGCCTTCCAGAACATGTAAACTGATACTCTGTATCTGTAAAAGATGTGCACTTAACTTTAAACATGTTTGGGACCTAAACAGCTTTTTAAAATTACACTTGGGAACAAATTCAGCATCTTTTCAAATAAATTATATGAAAGATTTTTGATACAGTGTTGTATCAATTTGCAAGCTGACCCCTAAACTATATTGGCCATCTTCGTGACAACACTACGCAGCCACATTCACACACTTAAGATGCAGTCAATCAGAAGATTACACACTTTATTCAACAGAAGGCATAAACATGATAGTAACTTTCTTTCCCAGAAAATCACTTGCTTCCTGTTCTTCAACTGTAAACAGTGCGGGGACTATTCTTAGAAGATCCCGGCACGTTAGCCACCTCTGCAGGTGCTCTGTGCGGGGCACCACATGGCAGCTGAAGTCCTGGGGCTGGGGAGAGGAACACCCTGGGAGGTCAGTGCCTAAAAGTACTAAGGAACTTTAAAAAGCCTAAAATCAAGTACATTTCAGTATCTTCGTGTAAAAAAATAAGTATAATATAACCTCAGGAAAAATGAGCTCTTCAATTATAAGTAATCCATCAAGATAAATAAATATCGACATCTATTATTTATACTGAAATAATTTTACATTTTCTTCCGTTAGAATTCTTCAAGACTGCTATGTTTTTAGTAAAATACTCACAAGTGTGAGATCGCTCATTTCCCCGGTCTGGAAGAGTTCTTCTCAGACGTCTCCTGTAGTTCTCCTTGGCAGTAAAGGCAAACGGGAGCCACATGCCAAGTCTGGGGCCAGCTGTGCCCTGGTGGCCTTAACTGTGGTGCTGCCGTCACCCATCATCTTCCAAATCCGAGATCCCCAAATCTGCTGTCTTGATTGTTCTTTTGCCACTTGTCAACAGTCCCTTCTCAAATTCTTCTTTGGTAATTTTGCCTTTTTTAAACCTTTTCAAGAGCCTTGTGTCATTAAGTAGTTCCTCCATGTCCTCATCTTCGATATCGGAACCCTAAGTGCAGAAGAAACCAGCAAACTACTAAATTTCTTAGCAACAGTGTTCTAGTGAAATCAGCAGTTTTTTTTTTTATGAGGCAGAGAATCTATCACCCAGGCTTGACAGTAGTGGCACGATCATAGCTCATCGTAACCTTGAACTCCTGGGCTCAAGTGACCGTCCTACCTCAGCCTCCCACATAGCTGGGACTACAGGCACATGCCACCATGGCCAACTAATTTTTTTTTTTTTTTTAGTAGTGATGGGGTCTTGCTATGTTCTCAGGCTGGATCTCAAACTCCTGGCCTCAACTGACCCTCCCATCTTGGCCGGTGCATAAGCTACCGTGCCTGGCCAAAACGAGCAATTTTTAATTGGGAACTATGAGCTCTTTGATCTATAAGCTTCCAGAAATACACCAAGTTCCCTGCCCTTGTTGCTAATGTAATAAAGAAATTTGAGAGCCCCACACAATTCCTATTTGAAGATTCTATTACAATAAAATGTGTTCAGAATTCCAAGTTAAAATGTAAATAATAAAGAAAATTGCAGACTTCACCTCTTCTCTTTTCCTTTTCTCATTCATTTTTTTCTTCTTTTCTTTTTTGGCCTTCTGCTTCGACCATGCTTTATTCTTTATGAATTTTCTTCTCCCTTCATTTTCTGTTTTCTCTTTTCTTTGTTGCTCCAGTAGTTTCTGCCTCTGCTTTTCTCTAATTTTATCTTTAAATGGAATAGTGTCTGTATTAACATCCACGGGCACAAAGTCTGGAAACTGCTTTCCTCTCAGTTCTGGCATCTTAGGCATCCTCAACAGGGCAAAACCTCGAGCAAGACTGGCAAGATCAAGGTCTGATTAAATCAAAACGTAAGAGTTAGCAGAGGGCAGTGGTGTGATCATAGCTCACCACAGCCTCCAACTCCTGGGCTCAAGCCATCCTCCTGCCTCAGCCTCCCGAGTAGCTAGCACTATAGGTGTGCACCACCATACCCAGCTAATTTTTTAATTTTTTTTTTTTAGAGATGGGGTCTTGCTATGTTGCCCAGGCTGGTCTCAAACTCCTGACCTCAAGTGATCCTCCCACCTTGGCCTTCCAAAGTGCTGGGATTACAGGTGTGAGCCTCCACATTCAGCCTCACAATATAATTTTTCTACAAAAAGATTTAATGGATTCACTTTAATTAGAATTAAAATAATTACATGTTTAGAAGGTAAAAGGGAATATTCAGCAGCCAGTGGCTGGTTTATCCTGTGTCTACTCAAAGTCTAGAAACAATCCCTTTTAAATGATCAGAAAATATTAATGCATAACATTTTCATAAGGCAAAGCAACTTCATCTTTGAAAGAGCATCAGGTAGTTAAGACAAAGACACAATTATGTGAAGAAAAAGTACAACTTACCCTTTAATCTGAAAATGAGGTTGCATTCATGCTTTGCATAAGCCTGGACATACGACACAAAAGCTTTCATGCCCTTTTCAAACACAGCTCTGTCTGCCAGGGCCATGGACTTAAGCTTTGGTAGAAGGTCAGCTGTGTTTTTCTGGAGCTTCATCTCCTGCAGGGGGCACTGCACAGACACCACACTCTCACCTCTGCCTGGCATCACCTCACCCCAGTGCTCCCCATCACAGCCACCCCAATGCTCCCCAGTCTTGAAAAGCAAAACAGTTCATTTTAATTTTAGATCAGAAGTCTAGAGCCCAAATCCAATCCAACTATTTTACTTGGTCCAAAAAGTATTGATAAATCTTCCTGATCTGGTAGGAAAGTATGGCAACACTGGGTCCTTCTACTCAAGTAGAACCTTTGCCTGGGGCCCAGCAGTGGCTGCAACCCCATAAGAGACTCAGTCACCCCACAACTGAGCTGTCCCCACAGGCTTAAGGCCTGCCAGGGTCCCGCACTGACATGACCAGCCCAGCCCCTGAGTCTGCAATCCCTAATCTAAGTTTCTGACCATATGACAGAAAACTGTGCAGCTACCCTGTCACTGGGTGTTCTACAACTTACTTTTTGGTTAATTGCAAGGAAACTGATGTATGACTCTTCCATGGGCAGGAGGAACACCAGAGCGCTGCCACTGTGGCCAATGCGGGCTGTGCGGCCACAGCGATGCACGAAGGCACTGTGAGGACACAGGATGGGAACAGGCGCCCAGGTGAAGACGGCTGAGCAGAGCTCAGGCTCCAGCCACGCAGCTCAAATGCTCTGAGGAGCCACAGACAACACAGCTCAGTGTGGGCTTAGCCACCTACTAGTGTGAGAAACAGAATAGCTAGCAATTAAACAGACTTTGCAAGATGCTGTTAAGAGTAGAAAATTAGGGAAACAAAAGTATAAAGAATAAAATAAAAATGCTCTATAATCTCAGAAGTAACCATTATTTTCATTTGGGGGTTTATATTTATAGGCACTTTCCTACGTTTGGAAGCATATATTAGGAATATATATTTACTTTGAGAAAATAATTACAATTTTCATATATGGTTTTATGTATTGCTTTTTTCATTTAAACATTCTATCAAGAATTTCTGAAAGAAATTACAGTATTTGAAAATATCTTTAATTGCTATAATATCATGCCACTTTCATCCAAGGAGTAACCCACGGAAATGAGTGGGTTATTCACTCATTTGCCTATTTTTGCCCTTTTTATTTTTTAAGAGACAAGGTCTCACTCTGTCACCCAGGCTGGAGTACAGTGGTGTGATCACAGCTCACTGCAGCCACACCTAGTTAACTTTTTAATTTTTTTAGGGTCTCACTCTGTTGCGCAGGCTAGTCTTGAACTCCTGGCCTCAAGCAATCCTTCCACCTCAGCCTCCCAAGTAGCTAAAATAATGTGCTGATGAACACCACTACATGTTTATCTTCTCAGAATTCCCATTTCGTTAAGCTACATTCCTGGACAGAGAAAGGGTAGCGGCAGGCTAGCACACTGTACCTTGCATTGCTGGGCGGGTCGTACTGCAAAACCCAGTTTACTTCAGGAATATCTATCCCCCGGGCCATCACATCAGTGCACACTAAGATCCCACTAGGAAATGAGAAAACAGCATTCTGAGTAAGGAGGTCACAGTCTTCATCACCATCAGCCTTTTTTTGTTGTTGCTGAGACAGAGTCTCGCTCTGTTGCTGGGACTAGAATGCAGTGGCATCATCACAGCTCACTGCAGTCTCACTCTTGGACTCAAGTGATCGTCCTGCCTCAGCCTCCTGAGCAGCTGGGACTACAGGCATACACCACCACGCCTGGCTAATTTTTCAATATTTTGTAGAGATGGGGTCTCACTGTATTGCCCAGGCAGATCCTGAACTCCTGGCCTCAAGAGATTCTCCCATCTCAGCCTCTCAAAGTGCTGGGATTACAGGCATGAGCCACTGTGCCCAGCCAAGAGTACTTTTAAGATAGCCAGGATGCTCAATGATTAAGAAAAATAGAAAATTATTATTTACACGTACAAACAGAAACAAGTTATGGTCGCCTAAGAGACCACAAGTTCCCTGTCATGTAGTCACAAGCCTGACAACCCACAGGCAGTTTCCATCCCAACAAGACTAACAGATTGCTCCTTTCTGCTCAATCATCCAATTGACAAATGGTCATCACAACCCTCCACTGGGCCAGGAGCAGGGAAACCCGGGAGGGAACACCATACCCAAGGCTCCCATCTTCACGGAGCCTACGATCCAACAAGGAGGCCCCACAGCGAAGGCAGCGACACAGCAAAGCGTAGCGGGGTGAGGGCCGAGGAAAGGGTGCTCTCAGCGTTTATACAGTAAGATGTGATGAGCGGCTTAGAGAAGGAAGAGGGTCCCAGTCAGGAAAGACAACACGTGTGGAGGGATATGGACAAGGGAGCAGGGTGAGTCTGGGGACCTGAGAAAGTGTAGTGCAGCTGGAGGTCTGCATCTCCAACGAAGCCAACCCACCTCTGCAATTTGCGGAACTCCACGAAGATCTTATTGCGTTTGTATTTCATCTTCCCATGAATGCACATAATCTTCACACCCCTCACCAGGGCCTCCAGAGCCTTCCCGTAGTACTCCACACAGGCACAGGTGCTGTGGAAGGGACAGGGGCCTTAGTGTCATTGGCCATCTTGGTCCTTCTACAATTAGGGGAAACGAAGCAGCGAATGACAGGTGCAGGAGACGTGACCTAATTATGAACCCCCCTTGGGGGAAAGAAGAGGGCGATGGCTGTGACTATCATCCACCACTGAGCTCCAGATCTGAAATCCTCTCAGCCAATGAAAGGTCAATCTTTTGACAAAATCCCTTAAACATGAGTTAAACACCAAGGATATAGTCTACTGTCTAAAGATGTTCTAGCAAGTGGACTCTCCCTGGGCCCCTGAGAAAGGAATCAACCTGAAGTAGTCATTCAGAACAAAACAATGACATCTTAGACACAAACAGTCTTATAAAATTTTACAACACTCCTGCTTTTCCTCTGGGAAGAACTACTTCTTCCCTAATTAGCAGGATTTTCAAGGGCTCAACAAAAAACCCAAGTTAGTCCACTCAGATCCCTTCTCCCAGGTATTTGGGACTTGGGGCTGACATCCAAGGACAAAAGGGGGGCTAGGGCAGGGTCATCCCAAAGAGGATGTGCCCTAAAGAGATGGCCCAGGAACTCCTGCCAAGGAACTCTCTGGGGCGCCCTGGATCCTGTCCTCCCTGGGGGCTGGGCACTCAACTTTCCCTTCGGGTCTGTGAGCTCCTTACCCAGCAACCTTCTAATAAAGTTCGCCCAGAAGCCCTTTTTTCCTTACTCAGAAGGATTCCAAAGTGACTTCCCATCCTTGTGCAGATGAGGGAACTGAGGCTTTACCAGAGGCAAGAGCAAGTGGCAGAGCCAGAACCGAGGTCTGGCTCCCCCCTGCTGTTCCGCCCGCTGTTCCAGCTGCAGTGCTCCAAGTTGGACTAACTGCCGTCTACTTCAACACCTCCACCTATGCTAAGTGACTGTCACCAGATTCGTCATTGTTTTCTGCCACGAGTCACATGAGTATATAATAAAGTGCTGTGTCACACAGTAAGGGTCACAACCCACAGATCCTGAAAGCAACTTGGTGGGTCTCCACCAGCATTTCTGAAAGTTAAACGAGTAGAACAGGGAGAAAACATCAGAATGCATCCCTAGTAGAGTGCACAATTTTGTGAAACCTTTGTTTTATTTTCGTGTGTTTGTGTGTGTGCTGTGGGTCAATCAATATAGCTAATGTGTTTTGTTTATAGAACGACAAAAAAGAAACATAAAATTCTCTTGGTATTGCCAAAGATCAACACTTTCATATTTGGAGGAGAAGGAACAAAAAACAAACCACCAGCCCAAAGAATACACACATCTGTTCCTATCTTGCCTTCCGACCACAAGACAAAACCCCCTGTGGCAGACCCCGTGGGTGGCTGATCAAATGTCATTCCCAAACACTTCTTCGCCTGCCTCTCCAGAGGGAGGGAAGCTACATGCTCATCTTCTCTGCTGCTCCTGAAGTAAAGGGTTCTGTGTGACCCACTTTGGGGCTCTAAGATGAATTCATAGCTGAAGTTAGCTAGGGCGAAGGGGTTTCTGAGAACATTTTTTGCTTTTCTGGTCAAAGGGATGGATATAGCAAACACTGCCTTCCACCCTCTCTGCTTTTCCTCCTCTACCTACCTTCAGTGTACACACAACAGGGTGTTATACTGAACACCTGGAAACCATGAGGTGACATATCGGAGGGAAAGGACCAAGACAATCACATTGACCTTGAAATTACTGAGACACTAAACCAATGTCAGAACTGCCTACCTTTGGGCTTCTTTTTATAGGAGGAAAATAAACCCTTCCTGTTTGAGCCACAGAAGTTGGATTTTCAGTTATATACAACCAAAAGCATTCACGAGAGAACCATCCTAGACAGAATCCAAAACCCAAGGGTCACAAGCACCTGCACATTCTGGGTGTGGCTGAACCCCTCACTCCCATACCAGAGACCACAGGATTACCTGAAGAAGACCAGGTGCTTTTCCTGCTTATGATTTCGAAGGAAATGTACCAGCTGATTAAATTTCTCATCTGCCTTGCATACCTACAAAATGAAAAGGGAAACTATTAAAATAAAAACATTTATTGGCAATAATAATCTCCATGGCTATTTTTAGTTTTGGTCTTAAATTTTAAGGAATCTAATGTTTTCCATGAATAGGACAGATTTTAGTCAGAATGTTAATCAGTCTCCCTAGCTCGGAATAAATGTTAACATGTGCTGCTGTCTGTAACGGTTAATTTTTAAGTCACAAAATCATAGAACTCGGAGAAATATAGTCACCTAATGCAACATTTTCCAAATCCCAATGCCAGTATACATGCCAGCTATAACACCATCTCCAGGGCAGATTTTTACAATGCAGATTCTTGGGCACGGCATACGGATTCTTATTCAGTAGGTCTGGGATTAGAACCAAGAATCTATATTATTTAAGAGTTTCCCAGGAGATTCTGATGCCAAGTTTAGAAGTCACTGCTCTAAGGTGAATACAGATTTCCAGAGTGGATGTACATAATTATCTGAAAGGCCTCTATGGAGACAGACACCACTGTTTCTCTTAAAAATGTAATCAAGTCCTCCATTCAACCCCCCAAACTAGAGCCATTAAATTCACCTGAATGCATTCCCCCTATTTTCACCAAAACCAAATTTTTTTTTTTTTTTTTTGGAGACAGAGTCTTGCTCCGTTGCCCAGGCTAGAGTGGCATGGCGTCAGCCTAGCTCACTCACAGCAACCTCAAACTCCTGGGCTCAGGTAATCCTCCTGCCTCAGCCTCCTGAGGCTGCTGCACTCTAGCCTGGGTGACAGAGCAAGACTCTGTCTCAAAAAAATAAATAAATAAATAAAACCCAAACACTTGGCCAGTGGTCAGTTGAGGGTAGAAGGGCCAGAGACACTGGCCTTGGAGACTGTGCTTAAAATACATTTATGCCCAAGATAACTTACTTATTCACTCATTCAACAAGTTGGACCACCCAGACCATCTGTCCTATCTCTGTCCTCAAATGCTTTTTAAACGTGCCACAGGATCTCATTACATAAATTCACTTTCCTATGAACCGCAAGAGAATCCCGAGAGCACGTGCCATCACTACCGAACCACGCGACTGCACGAAAAGCAAGCCCAGGTGCGCACCATGTAGTAGTTCTCCAGGCGGGAGGGGGTCTTCTGGGTGCTGCTGGCTGCCACGCCCTTCTCCTTCACTGAGACCCGGACAGGGTTCCGGAGGCCTGCTCTCACCAGGTTCTCCACCTCCTGTGTCTGAGTGGCGGAGAAAAGGCCCGTTCGCCTCTGCTTTGGCAAAAACTCCAGGATGGTGTTTATGCTGAAAATGAAAGCTCACACTTAACCCCTCACTTACCAGCATAATCAACAAACAGTGCTGCAGGATATTAACAGGTATTTAAAAAGAGTGAAAAAGAAGTCACCAAAATATTTACAATAGGCTGGGCACGGTGGCTCATACCTATAATCAATCCTAGCACTCTGGGAAGCTGAGGCTGGCTTGAGGTCAGGAGTTTAAGACCAGCCTGAGCAAGAGTGAGACCCCTGTCTCTACTAAAAATAGAAAAAATTAGCTACGCATGGTGGTGCGCACCTGTAGTGCCAGCCACTCAGGAGGCTGAGGCAGGAGGATCGCTTGAGTCCAAGAGTTTAAGGTTGCAGTGAGCTGTGATGATGCCACTGCACTCTAGCCAGGCCAACAGAGTGAGACTGTCTCAAAGAAAAAAAAAACTTCCTGCAGATATTACTAGGAAGTGAGGTTAAGGGCGATTTTTGTTTCTTCTTTATACTTTCATTTTTCCTACGTTTCTCCAATGTAAGCATAAATTTATACCTTTACAGTGGGGGACAATTAAAAGAAGTAAGTGAAATTAAGACAAAATTTTTTGAGACTAAAAACCACTGCATATAGATTTTTTTTTAAGAGATGGGGTCTCACTCTGTCACCCAGGCTGGAGTGCAGTGGCCCGATTATAGCTCACTACAGCCTTGAACTCCTGGGCTCAAGCGATCCTCCCACCTCGGCCTCCCAAAGTGCTGGGATTGTAAGTGCACCACCACACTGGCCAAGACTTTAAATGGGCGAATTTGTGTGGTATGTAAATTATATCCCAATAAAACTGCTTACTAAAAACAACAACAAAGGTAAAACAAAATCATGAAAGAAAATGCATTTAAAGAATATCAAAGATAGAAGAACTGGAATTAAATTTGTGTAGTAGAATCTGAAGGCTCAAGCTACCCAATGGTTTGAAACTGCAATGTGGTTAACAGAAACGGTCAGGAAGTGGTAACGGAATCCCATTTCGCTCTCCTTTCCTACCAGGATCACCCACCCATCCAAAGCCAGAAGTCCAAAATCCACTTACCTTGCCTCAAATCCCATGTCCAGAAGTCTGTCTGCTTCATCCAATACCAGGACATCCAGGGAGCGCACACAGCTGACCAGATCCAAGCCTTCGGCCTTCCTTCGGAACATGTCCTCCAAGCGGCCTGGAGTGGCCACAACGATGTTCCCGCTACAGAAAGAAAGTTTAACATTTACCATACTCTGGATCTTGGGAACACTGGGTATGGTTACCAAAATACCAGGTTTCATACCCCTAAAAGTCATCTAAGTCCCAGTGAAGAGAAAGATGACCAGGAGACTGGAAGAGAGTGCTGCAGGGTAGAGACAGCAAGGGCCACGGGGAGAGGAGTCTGGGTTCCGGGCTAAGATCCAGGACCAACGGGCAAACTCCGCCCCCAGTCCACACCTGGCCTGCCGCCTGTCTTTGACGAGTGTCTCCCTGGCACACGACCACGCCACGCCCATCCCTTCACATGTTGTCTGTCGCTGCCTTCACACTGCAACAGCAGCTGAGTAACTGTGACAGACCATATGGTCCACAAAGCCTAAGATATTTACCATCTATCTGCTCCTTTACAGAAAAAGCTTGCCAACCTCTGACCTACGGCAAGTTACTCGACCACTTTAGGTCCCAGGCAACTCATCTGTATGATAAAACGAAATGCTGACAGACTTACAGAGCCACAAACTGGCAGACTGAGGGCCAGATGTGCCCCACAGACTGGCTGATCAGTAAGAAATTTCTTTAAAATGTAGATTACATGCCAACAGATTAAAAATCAGGAAATTACATGTACGAATCTAGAATCCCATCTTCTTTTCAAGAAACTCAAAACCTGGCAATTCTTGCCCAGAATCCAGCCAGGTAACTACCACTGGAGATGAGTATTGAGGGCACCTACTGGCCAGTTCCTAACAATCTGCCCCCCACTTACACTCATGGGTAGGACTAAATCACACAACAATTTCTCTTGGGTTCAGTGCCAAGAACAGGCAAGAAAGAGGCGGAAGCAAGCAAACTTACCCTTGTTGCTTAAACCTCTCAACATCTTCCCCAGGATTCCTGCCACCAATCCAAAGAATCTGGCTAAAACAAGAAACAGGTCTTTGAGCAAGTTGGGCAAAACAACAGCCCATGGCTAACTGCAATACTCCATCCAAAATTCACCTGAACTGTGGGAAGTGCTTCGTGAAATGTGCCAGGACCTCGTCTATTTGAATGGCCAGCTCTCGAGTGGGGGTGATGATTATGGCTCCAACCTACCCACGTGGAGGGAACAGACATGGTTAGCAGCACAAGAGACTCCCAGAGCTGAACACACAAGCTCCTGCCACCTCACAGAGGAAAATTCCCAGAGAAACAGCACTTCCTGGACTTTAGCAGCAGCATCTGGTCATAGCATGTATCAACTACTTTGAATTACAGTCACTGGTCATTATTCACTGCAGTTATGCTTTATAAAGTCACTGCAAACACTGAGTTGGCGAATACTGAACTGTTGTTCCTAAAGAAAATACGGGGTTAGGTTCCTGTCAGTCTCTGGGCATAACATTTTTGTTAACTGATCGATACATAACCTTGCTATATGTTTCGTTTAAAGACACTGTATTTTACATATATTGATTCATTCGCACTGAACCAACGGCCAACAGCTCCATAACTCATGCCTGAACGAAGCTTATCTAACACACGTACTTCGTCTGCGCATCATAACCCCCTTGCACTCACGAACACTATGTTGCGCCTCAGCACTACATTGCTACGAGCCATTTTAAACAGCAAGATCACCAACAAAAAGTATAAAAATGTGAAAAACATGGCACTAAATAGACCACAAAAAGGACAGTGTACGGTCTGAGAGCTGAAATGAAAGGCAGCTCTGCCCATATCCACAAATGACCGTGAAGGTGCCCTGAGCATCGAATTGGGGGTTATAAATTTTAAAGAGCAGGCAAATTTACAAATACAGAATCCACAAATAATGATGTTGACTGCCTTTTAGTTATCCAAGATTCTAACCAGCTTCTTACCCAGCCATGAACTGACTGATGACTAAGTGAAAACACATCACTTTTGCAATGCCTCACCTGACTCTTTTTTAGCTTCTCTTCCCTTCTCAGGAGAATTTCCAGAATGGGAATGACGAAAGCGAGTGTTTTGCCACTACCTGTGACCTGCAAAGGGAGAGGAAGCTTTGCTTTGCTTTTTGTTCTCACAGTTCATTTGAGGGAAAACATGAGGACAGGCTGATGTACCCAAGGTACTCACCGCTTCTGCGGCGACATCTTTGTTTTTCATGAAGAGAGGGATGGTTGCAGACTAGAGAGAGATTGCAAAGCACTGGTTAAAGAATGCTACGAACTCACAGGCGAGACCCAAAGCTCTAGGCACATACTGGGGGGCGAAGCCACAGCAGACCCCGCCACAAAGGGGACTCTGAGTAACCAAGGCACCACTGAGGAGTTGAATCAAACGTGCAACACAGACGGTGTGGTGGGGACAGCAACCTGAGCTGGGAGGTGGGAGTCCTGAATTCTAGTCCCGTCTCTCCTGCTTTTCCACTCTGGACCAGGAAGCGATTAAAGGTCCCTTCTAGCTCTAGTATCACAGAAGAACGATTCAAATAAACCCTGTCATTTTAAGCACTGCGGAGTGCCTCCAGATTTTGAGAAGCCTGGCCATTTGGTCTCAGGTCTTGGCCTCAAGGTTATTCCCTCCAGGGCTTGCTCTTGGTCCCCAAAGCCTGAGCTCACCTGCATCGCAGCAGATGTCATTCCTTTCCAAATGCCTCTACGCGAATGGTTCCCAACCTGGGTGATTTCTATCCTCCCCTCTAATGACCCAGGGAATATTGCAGTATCTGGAGACAATTGCGGTAGTCAAAACCCAGGGTAGGGGGATGCTGTCATCTGGCGGGTAGATTCCAGGGGTGTTGCTACATCCTATACTGCCCAGAACTCCCACAACAAAAAATTTTCCAGCCCCAAATGTCAAAAGTGGCAAAGTTGAGGACCCTGCTCTAGACCACTGCTGTCCAATAGAAACATAATGAGAACCACATACGTAATTTTAAATTTTCTAATGGCCACAGTAAGAAAAGTAAAAACAAACAGGTGAAATAAATTTTAATACAACACATCCAAAGTATTGCCACTGCAAAATTTAATCAATATTATTATAAAAATTAAGGAGATATTTTCTATTCTTTTTCCATATGAACTCTTCAAAATCCAGCGTATTATTTTATAATTAGAGTACATCTGAATTTGGACTAACTGTACTTCACGTGCTCAACAGCCATGTGTGTCCGGTGACCATTGTAGCGGGGGGGCGAGCTCTAAGCCGTGAACTCCGAGGGCAGAGATTGGGTCTGTTTGCACCACATTCCCACAGCATGGCACACAGCACCCCCCGCCTCTCTCTGCAGCCCTGCCTGCTTCCCCCACATCCTTCCTGGACATGTCCAACTCAACAGTCAATTTTCTTTCTTTCTTTTTTTTTCTGAAGCCCAACTCAACAGTTTAACACAGCACTCTGGGTTTTCCCTCTAAAACCTGTTACCCCTCCCGGATTTCCTCATCTCAGGAAATGGTAACACCAAACACCCAGCTACTTAGAAAAAAACCTTCAGGTCCCTCTAGATTCCTCTTTCATGACCCCCCACCCACACTTCCAGTCTCTCAGCAACCCTAATGCTATCCTGAACCTGATTTCTCGATGCTTCCACTCCACCATCACCTCTCACCTCACAATGGCCTCCAACCTGACCTGCCTCCTTCTCCTCTTACCCCTTCAAAGGCCATTCTCTACAGAGATCACAGCCCTTCCCTTCGTATACGTTTCAAACCCATGTAAGATGGCATCCCACTACCTTGAGAATAAAATCCAAGACCCCGCACAGTCCAGCCCCTGCTTTGCTCAGCTCTCCCACCACCCTCGATGCCACGAAGGTCTTCTTTCTGTTGCTCAGAGCTCATTTCCTGATAACCCCACGGCATACGCGCTGGCAGTTCTCGAAGCTGGTATCATCTGCCCCAATCACCCCCCAGCCAGCTCCTTCTCCATCACTCAGGCCTCAGCTCAATGACAGTTCCTTAGAAAGGCCTCCCCTAACAGACTACCACATCAGCCTGTTTTATTCCTTTATCACAACACCAGCTGAAATTATCTTATTCTTTTACTTCTTTCTGTAGCTCTTGCACTAGAAAATAAGCCCATGAATAGGCACCAACACTGCCAAGGAGGACCTGATACATAGGAGGTCCTCAAGAAATATTTCTTGAATAAATGAATTAATTGGGTCAAGGGGCTTCACTTCGTGACACAGTAACAACAGGTAACATTTATTACTGAGCGCCTACAATGTGCCGACATTGTTTTATTTCATCTACACAACAACTCTATGAGACAGGTAATGTTATTCTCATCACTTCACAGAGAAGGAAAATGAAGCACAGAGAGGTTAAGTCATTTGTCCGAGGTCTCACAGCTGGAGCGGGCAGGGCCAGGATATGAACCAGGCACTAAGTCCCCAGCACCCAAGGGCGGGGTGGATGCGGTGGAGGCGAGATCCCGGCGTGGGTGCGCCGCCGCCGGGTCACCATCCCGCTTCAAATCGCGGGAGTCTGGGCAGCCTGGCGACGTGGCACAGTCCCAGCTGGAGGGATGAGAACCCCAGGGCTCGAGTCCTAGTTCGACCACCTACGGGCCGTGTCCGATAAGCGGGTGCCTGCCCCGCTCCCAGCCTCGCTTTTACAACTGGGCCCTGGGGACGGATACCTGCACCGGCGTCATGTACGGGAAGCCCAGCTCCCGCAGCGCGCCCAGCACCCGTGGGTCCAGAGGCACTGGCAGCGACTCCCAGGAACCCTCCGTCACGTGTTCCATGGCTCGCTACTCCACCTTCTGCGAAGCTGCTGCCACCCGGACGCTGCCAGTGCACTGCCACAAGCACTTCCGCTTCCGGCAGCACCCCTCGCCGGCCGGAAACCGCCCTGCAGCCGCAAAGTTCCGGTAGACTGGGAAGGCGCCCTCACCGCTGGAGGGAAGAAAGTCGACCGCGGGAGCGTGAAAGCAGGCGGCGGGGGCCGGGCCCGAGTAGTTCCACCCGCCCTGCGTCGCCTCTTTGGCTCTCGGCGCCTTTCCACACCAAGCAGGAATTTTGGCGGGAACAACTTTCTCCGCCAGTGGGAGGCAGGTGGCAGCACAATACCGCGTCCAGACCAAAGGGACAGCAGAGCTGGCTGGACTGGGCAGAGAAACGTACCCCAGCCCCAGTGCCGCAGTTTAGTAGACACGCAGAATAGGGCTGATGGTGGAGATCCAATGGCTGGTACATAATAAATGTTGGTTTACTCTCCAGGAAGTTATGGTCAGCGTCCTAAACGAGAACACTGCCTTCCCATTCCTGTGTTCACCATTGGCTCTTGGGGCATTCATTTTCCACGCGTACGTTCATTCGGCAAGCTTTCATTGACCACTCATTGGAGGCTGGGTTCTGAGGACATACCCCCCGCCGCCCCAGCTATGTGCAGAGCTTGCTCGTGTTGGGGCCCAGAAAATGATTCCCCAAAATGGAGGCCTCAGAAGCAAAAGTTTCTCTCTGACCATTTGCTGCCCTCCTGTGTCTCCCTCCTCATGCTAAGGCTAGCCATAGAAATTAGAATCCCTCTTACCCAAGGAGGGTCCTAGAAATCAGAACCCCCTTTTCTCCAGAGCCAGCCATTAAAACCTAAAAATATTGCTCTATAACTTTCCCTCACCCTTCTGTGTAAAAACTGGCCATAAAGAAACTATCCAACCTACCTTGTTATGATTGTAGGTCGTAACATACCCATTCCAGAAAGGATCCTGCCCCACACCCAGAAGAAAGGAATGCTGCACAGAGAGGCCAAGAAGAACCTGGACAGGCCTTGCTGGGTCGCCCCAGTCTGCTAGCATCACACCACACCCTTTCTTTCTACACAGGAGTCCATGCTGCATTGAACCTAAGCATAAAATGACTACTTTTCCCTGTGTTCTTAGGTATTCATTCTGAAGGTTCCTGTGTCATGTAAAACCATGATCAAATAGATTTGTATGCCCTTTCTCCTATTAATCTGCTTTTTGTCAGCTGACTTTTCAGCAAACTTCAGAGGGCAAAGGGGACGTTTTCCCTTCATCCCTACACTCCTTTACATCCCCCAGAACTTCTGAAATGTCACCTTCTTAGTGGTGCCTTCCTTTCCTAATCACTAGAAGCCCTAGCCTGCTTCATTTCCCTCCTTAGCACTTACCATTAATATGCTATATAATTTACATATTTATTACATTCTTCTCCACTAAAAGATAAAATCCACAATAATGGGGTCTTTTCTCTATTTTCTTTATCCCAGTGACTGTAACTGTAGCACACAGCGGTCACTCAAATATTTGCGGGATGAATAAACGGGAATAAATAGTACTCATGCAGATTCTAGTCATCTCAAACTAAATTAAGGTAAAAGCCTGAGTCCTGAGAATAAAGAAAAAAAAAAAAGATAAAAGCCTGAAGAAACATTTTCACTGAAATAACCATCACATCCTCAAAACACCTTTGACAATTGTTTTCTAAAATGGGACAGACAGGGCCGGGTACAGTGGCTCACGCCTGTAACCCTAGCACTCTGGAAGGCTGAGGGGGGAGAATTGCTTGAGCTCAGGAGTTTGAGACCAGCCTGAGCAAGAGCGAGACCCTGTCTCTACCAAAAATAGAAAAAAACTAGCCGGGCATAGTGGCATGCGCCTGTAGTCCCAGCTATGAGGGAGGCCAAGGCAGGAGGATCACTTGAACCCAGGAATTTGAGGTTGCTGTGAGCTATGATAGCACCACTACACTCTACCCAGGGTCACGGAACAAAACTCTGTCTCAAAAAATAAAATAGGCCGGGCGCGGTGGCTCAGGCCTGTAATCCTAGCACTCTGGAAGGCCGAGGCAGGCAGATCGTCTGAGCTCAGGAGTTTGAGACCAGCCTGAGCAAGAGCAAGACCCCGTCTCTATTAAAAATAGAAAGAAATTGGCTGGACAACTAAAAATATATAGAAAAAATTAGCCGGGCATGGTGGCGCATGCCTGTAGTCCCAGCTCCTCGGGAGGCTGAGGCAGGAGGGTTGCTGTGAGCTAGGCTGACACCACGGCACTCTAGCACAGGCAACAGAGTGAGACTCTGTCTCAAAAAAATAAAAAAAAATAACATAAAATGGGACAGACAGCTCTGAAAGTAAAGGCATAGGGAAACTGCATAGTTGTGTCTGCCTTTTGGGCTCTACTACTTATTAGTGTTCTGAGCTTGGGACCCTTTCCAAGCCTGTTTCCTCAATTATAAAATGATTTCACCCAAGGTAATAGCTGTTTTGAGGCATAAATAAGATAGACCATGTAAAGCACTAAGCACCAACTCAGTACATTACACAGTGCTCAATTAATAGTAGCTTCTTTTATTACTAGCATGCCCTTAATGAAGCAGCAGAAAAGGAACAATTTAGATAGGCAGAGATCTTGTCTCTGGTTTCACTTTCACTCTATACGTGGGGGCCTTGGGCAAATCATTAATCTCTCTTAAACCTATTTTCCACATCCATAAACCAGTTGGCTGAGTGAAAATAATTCAAACTTTTTTTTTCTCCAAATAAAAAAATGCGTAAGGTTTTAACACCAACCCATCTGAGAAACCACACAGGAACACCTGTGTGGAAACTAAAATTTGGTTCCTGTTTACTATCCTCAAGTTTATAAAAATAAAAAGTAACAGGCATAATTACTTAGAAAACATGGACATGTCTCATTTCAAATAAGAACAGAAAGTGGCTATTTAACAAATGTGAATTAACCACCAATATATAAAACACAGAGTACTGACTGTTTTTAAAAAGAACCGTTTATTTACTGAACCTGGGGCATATTAGATACACAACCAATTTTAAATTTACATCTTTTAATTCAATTTTCAAGTGTTTTCACACACACACACACAAATTGGCATGCAACAGTTATCCTAAGGTGAAACAGTCACCTTATCAATAAACCGTTGCAAGTATTTTCACCCAAGGTTGAAAAATTGTTTATCCTGAACATGAAAACCTGTAACAAATTTAACTTAATTATATAAAACTCATTACTTGTAGTTTTCCCCCTGCAAAGATCCAAAAAAAAAATGTACAAGTAACTAATATACATCAGTCACAACATAATCCTGGATCATCCCCACACCAAAACCAGATGCTCCTTTAATTTTAAACCCATCATCAGAGACCAAGAGAAAGTCATTTTGTTTTATACAAAACAAAATTCACATGTGCCAAAAAAAGAAAGACCCAAGAGAAACAAAAACAAAAACCCTAGTGCTGACACTGATGTTCGGTGCCCTAGTTAGTGGCTCAAAGGCCACTGATCAAAAATAAAATAGTGGCTGTATATCATTGCAATGAAATCCAAGAGGCTTTAACCCTTTGGTATCAGAAATCCAGATTTTTCCAATTCTGTGAATGCACACTTCCTACGTGCCAAGAGTGGGGAAAGCGGATGTGCCAGCGCAGAAAGAAAAAGAGCTACCGTTCACTGGAACACCCGGAGAATTGGCTTTAACAGAGACTTCTTAGAAGGTTACGCAAAAACGAAAATAAATGGTTATTAGCTGCTTGTGTCTTCAATTTACGTGGGGGTGATTGAGTCCTAAGGTTCAATGTAAAAATTTATGGAGGAAAATGTATCCTGGGGCAAGCCTTACCTTTAAAGGAAAAACAAGGTAACAAAGTATAAAAGTAGCCAGCCTGGTATCACACTCCGGTCAGAGAGCTCTGCCATTAGGATGGGTAGAAAACGTTAAGATTCAGACTGTTGCTTCTTTTAAGGATCAACACAATGAATCTCTAATGATTTGAACCACAGGATGAGGGAATCCAAAGAACGCAGTCATTTTAGTAAAGTACTATCAAGCTTTGTACTGATTTCCTGAACAAATTTCATTTTATTATAAAAACAAAAGGAAAAAGAGGCGTAACAAAGACTATAATCCTATATTTCATTTACAATGTTTGAGTTCTGGAAGGACTTGTATAATGGAGGCAGCATTTAAATAAGAAATTATGCCAATCAAATGTCAAATTTTCACTATAACTTTCCTAAAAAGGTATTTTTCCCCCAATATCTATTAATCACAAAGAAACATAAGCTGTGAATGTACACTTCAGAAAATAAAAACGTAGAAACTAATGACATTATTGTGACCAAGGTGTTTGGTAAACAGTGAATTATGAGTTTGGGATCATCAGGAAAAGGCTTTTTAAACAACCCTCCGGACTTCAAAAAATCTCTTCAGGTAGTAGATCTGTCCCAATGTCATGGCAACTAGAACAAGAGCTTCAAAGAAGGACCAAAGGACCACTCTGCTGTTTGTGTTGTCATTGACTGTTGAGGACAAACAAACAAACAAATTTTAACAACCCCCCCCAAAAAAGCATAGTCATCATAAATTATCTCCTAGTCTTCACTCTATATGAAAGTAATATCTTGCACACCATTTATAGTACAGATGCTCCTCAACCTCTGATGGGGTTACTTCCCCAAAAACCCATCGTAAGTTGAAAATAAAGTCGAAAAGGCATTTAATACGTCTAACCTACTGAACATCACAGCTTAGCCTAGCCTACCTTAAACGTGCTCAGAACACTTACATTAGCCTACAGCTGGGCAAAAGCATCTAACAAAGGCTATCTTGTAATAAAGTGTTGAATATCTCATACAATCTATTGAACACTGTACTGAAGGTAAAAAAGAGAATAGTTCTATGGGTACCTGAAGTTGTAATGAATGGGTATCACTTTTGCTCCATCATAAAATCAGAGAATTTTAAGTTGAAACATCGTAAGTT